AGGATAGGGCCGCGCGGTGGAGTTGGCCTAACACTGCCATGCCGAGGGCTTGACTGAAGGGCAGTGTGACATGACATCCTTCAACTCCATCATGACATGGTGTGATGCTTGAGGATGTGAAGCAACATGTAACAAGTTGCAGAAGTTGTAACTGTAACAAGTTCCCTTCATTTATACAATTTTGTCTTGCATGCTCATCTCCTAATTAGATCTGCAAACTGAGGATAAAAGAATAATAATTATAGGACTTCACATTTAACAGTTCTGAGCATAGAGATGGGGTACCCGAATCAGGGGCCTGAAGGACCTAACATTTAACAGGTCTGAACATACGTAGAGACTAAATTATTTTTGCAACAAAATTATCAGATCCAGTGACTGAACAGTGTTGTCTTCTACTCCCTCCGTTCCTAAATATTTGTCTTTCTAGACATTTCAAATGACTACTACATACGGATGTATGTAGACATATTTTAGAGTGTAGATTCACTCATTTTGCTCCGTATGTAGTCACTTGTTGAAATGTCTAGAAAAACAAGTATTTAGGAACGGAGGGTTCGAACGCACCAATTAGGCAGTTTGTTTATCCTTAGAAAGTTAGAAGACAAGGAAATTATTCATCTTTTTTGCACAATATGCGCACCGAACCCGGTCGCGACCCTCTCGTCCCGCAGCCCCCGCACCCTTCCCCAGTGCTGCTCATGTATGCACGCGCCGCCTCTCTCGCATCTTCTCCCATGCTCCCGTGGGACGAATCGATGACCGCTGGTCTGCTGCAGACCGCCGCCAGCGGCCGCTCTCCTCCACTCCAGCCCCAACCGCTATCTGCTCCGCGCTGGCGCCGGCCACCCCAGCCTTCGTGTTGCTGCCTTTGGGCGTTGGCCGTGCCAACACTACGCCCAGGACTGGCAGCACCTACACAGCCGAGAATCACCCACACCTGGCCACTAATCTTGGGTAATTTATTGAACTGACACAAGAATAGAACTTGCATGCTGTATAAGTTGATTTCTAAATTGATGCATTTGAAATTGAATTTATTCTGAATTGAAAAATAATTGTGTGTATGTATGGATTAAACTCAAATCGATGCATTCGTCTTACAGAAAAATAAGACGAGGATGGTGTCTACACATGTGGGAGGCACAGATGAAGCAAGCTATTGATTTGATATTCTTTTGTATCCATTATTATTATTTATATCTTTTGTCATGTTTCATCTAGTTTGTCCAATAGTTTCAGTTCTACGTATATTATGCAACCAGTAGATTTTTTTAATGCTTTCTTGTGAGGAAAGCTATGGTGTATTTGGGGGATAGTTCTTAAGTTATGTAAATTTTTAAAAAAATTAGGGCTTCATTTTATGATTCGTCCCGGGGCCTCAAATTCCTGGAGACGGCCCTGCCTACATGCATGCGGATTTTATTGAGCCATGCGTTTTGAATCATATAACACATCTACTCCCTCCGTCCCATAATATAAGAACGTTTTTGGCACTACACTAGAGTAAAAAACGTTCTTATATTATGGGACAGAGGTAGTAATATTTAGTTTCTACCAAGTTTTCAAACTGCAATATTATTTTTCATTTGACAATATCCTTTGCAAGATTATGTTTTTGTTTCAGTTTTAAAACTGTAATATCGAAAAAAAACATCGAGTTATGTGTCTTCTATAAAATTGAGAACCTCATCCTATGACAATTAAAATAGTGGATTTCATTATTATTAGAATTTTAAATAAAGAGAGAATTCCAATATTCTAATTGCTGGAAAACTCATGGAATAAATTCCATGATATTAAGTCTTCTTTTTTTTATTTTAGTTAAAACCGAGAACTTCGTGATAATAATTCTAGACAAATTAATTATAGTAATTCCAAAACTTTTCATTCTCTAAAAACTATGTTATTAGTCACCTTGTCTGGTTTATCAGTGCAACATAGTCGCATTTAATCGTTCATCTTCATGGCCTAGCAAAGATGAATTAACGATAATTACATCGCATGCAACTGTTTTGTTTTTATTTATTGAGTCGTATCATACCTCTGAGCTCCAGTACAGCACATTGATTACGTAGTACACTAATAACTACTCTGACATATCTGTGCAGACAAAGGACATCACATGAACCTTTCTTGCATGCAAACGCGTGACATTAACTGAGAATATTGACTTTTGCTGCCCAATTTAGTATGCTACCCCACCACGCTGCACAAATATACTATTAAGGGCATCTCCAACAGGTTGTATGTTAATCTTGTTGGTAAAATGTTCATGTCATCAACCAACAAGCTATTATACAACTACTCCAATGGGTTGTATGTAAGCTATCCAATAGATGGTGAGACAATAAATGTGATTGCTCTCTATTTCACCTTGGAGCTTGTGCAAAGGTTGTTGGTTAATCTACATATAACTTTGCTCTCTCTCCACATTTAATACATGCCACATCATCACTATGTCCTAGGTGGCAAATTTACCAACACCTATCTCACAACTATTGGAGATGCCCTAAGTGTCAACTATATTAAATGTCAAATGACATGTACGCACTGCTAACCTATACAACTTCGCAATGTATTCACGTGTAAAAAATCAGTTCAGCTAAAGTGACGCGAATCCCCAGGGGGCAAACGACAGGCCGTGATTTCGGAGGGCGTAGTTGTCGTGTGCTCTTAATCCACCTCCCTACCTAGGGTGTCTTTTATCACCCCCTGAGGTCTTTTTTTCAGTGTAATAACGTATCGTTGCATCATCCAGATAAAAATGGCAATTTCTATTTTTCAGGGTTCCGCCTAAGCAACAAAGGCACCATTTCACGCGCGCACACACACATACCAACCAACTAACAACATATAGTGTCTTTTTCAATGTATACAACACATCATTGCATCATCCAGATATATAGAACTTTTTCTGTTTGGTTTATTGTAAGGTTAAATCATCCATCTCCATAAGAAGGGATCAATGGCGCACTACTAAGCTAACCTATTTGGAATTCCATCCTTCTTTGCTTGGGTGTTTATTCCTGGAGACATGGAGGTCCACAAGGTCAAGGTGGCAAGCTTGTGCTTACTTTTGCTCATGGCACTCCTCTTGCTTCCTGGCAAGCCTTACCTGGAATAATTATCTGAATAATATAATAGTTTCTTAGTGTTTTGTTTTCTGATGTTGTTATGCAAAATCTTACCCATATTTTACTGCAGGATCTGAAGGCCAGTGCAGGCAATTAAGCCAGACATACCCTACTCCGCAATGCAAGGGTGATCAATGCACAGAGCCAGTGGCGAATCTACTAGGGGGGCTTTA